TTCACAGCTGAACACATCATACTAACACAAGCCTATTTCAAAGCTGAACACAGCATACTAACACACGCCTATTTCACAGCTGAACACATACTACCAACACAAACCTATTTCACAGCTGAACACATCATACTAACACACGCCTATTTCACAGCTGAACACATCATACTAACACAAGCCTATTTCACAGCTGAACACATCATACTAACACAAGCCTATTTCACAGCTGAACACATCGTACTAACACAAGCCTATTTCACAGCTGAACACATCGTACTAACACAAGCCTATTTCACAGCTGAACACATCATACTCACACAAGCCTATTTCACAGCTGAACACATCATACTCACACAAGCCTATTTCACAGCTGAACACATCATACTAACACAAGCCTATTTCACAGCTGAACACATCATACTAACACAAGCCTATTTCACAGCTGAACACATCGTACTAACACACGCCTATTTCACAGCTGAACACATCATACTAACACATGCCTATTTCACAGCTGAACACATCATACTAACACAAGCCTATTTCACAGCTGACCACCTCATACTCACACAAGCCTATTTCACAGCTGAACACATCATACTAACACACGCCTATTTCACAGCTGAACACATCATACTCACACAAGCCTATTTCACAGCTGAACACATCGTACTAACACAAGCCTATTTCACAGCTGAACACATCGTACTAACACAAGCCTATTTCACAGCTGAACACATCATACTAACACAAGCCTATTTCACAGCTGAACATATCGTAATAACACAAGCCTATTTCACAGCTGAACACATCATACTAACACACGCCTATTTCACAGCTGAACATATCGTACTAACACAAGACTATTTCACAGCTGAACACATCATACTAACACAAGACTATTTCACAGCTGAACATATCATACTAACACAAGCCTATTTCACAGCTGAACACATCATACTAACACAAGCCTATTTCACAGCTGAACACATCATTCTCACACAAGCCTATTTCATAGCTGAACACATCATACTCACACAAGCCTATTTCACAGCTGAACACATCGTACTAACAAAAGCCTATTTCACATGTCTGGCTTATCATGACAATACAAGCCTATTTCACAAGGGAGTTTCATATCCAGTTTCACCCAGGAGACCAATTTGCAATCTTTCTGGGCCATCAATTTGAACATTGTTCTCTCAGGTAAGATTGAGATTGTGAAGGTGCAATTCATATGGTGATAACTGCAGTGCGTGCGACACGAGTAGCAACGTACATCCCGTGACACGCGTATCACATGCCGCCACACATCCACGGTACACATAGAGTAGCGTCTATGCGACATGCGGCGGGATCTCTGGACAAGTCCAGTCATTGGTTGTTATCATGAGACTTGTTTTTTAAGATTGGGATAAGGGTTATAACTCTAAAGTTGTATTTGGTGGCAGAGTGAAACCTACTTAAGTCAAACTTCACACGTAACGCACACGTAACTGGACATTCGTAATGTACTAGTCAGCAAAATACTGCGTTTGTTTGATTGTTCTTTGACGCCGAAATCTGCGGTATTCCTGCTATATGACGGCGGTCTGGAAGTCATCGAGTCTGGACCAGCCAATCAAGTGATTGACATCATGAGCATCAATCCACGCAATTGGGATACGGTGAAGTGCGTCAACCAACGCAGCGAGCTTGACCACCCGATCCCGTTAGTCGCCTCTTACGACAAGCATGAGTTGCTGAGGGCCTATTCTAGCTCGGATCTTCACGGGTATAAAATACTGCGTGACCAGATTTAAAATACAACCTAAAATCTAGACTATATCAATGTATGAATGAAACTAAATACAACACAATTATGCTGCACGGAAATAAGAAGTACATTCGTAATATATGAGAATGTTTCACCTCGTGCTTCGATGACCGTGCTGTATTTTGTGCGATTTGATCGTTCTAGCTTGTACATTCGTGACGCACGTGCAAAGAATTAATCATTGCTGATATGATTTCCCTCTGATGTTTGATGTGATTTCCTATATCTCAGAGTGTATGGTATTAATCGTCACCCTGAGGACCCGGGTTCGATTCCCATATTGGTATTATGACAACTGTGTATATCCCCGCCTTGACGAGGCTCGATTATAGTCGTAAAATCGTTTCATTCACTCATCAACAATTAAATACAAGTGTTTTCTTTTTATATATTTATCGTTCCTGGATTCCTTAAAGTACTTCAGCATACGTCGCATTCTCTTTCAGTTATTTTCCAAATTGTGATATGACAATATAAGCAACAAAATTCTTTCGATAATCGGAAGAAATATCTGCTACAATCAGACTCTATTGTACGAATCCGACTGTATGAAAGGCGTGTGTTTATGAATCTCTTTCAAATAGTGATGTGCCAGGTGTTCTCGAAACAGTGCTGTTTCAAACAGTGATGTGCCAGGTGTTCCCCCCCCCCCACCAAGAGCACGCTCTTCGTATCCTACGATTGTTCGTGGTACTCAACTGTCAGATCAGATTAGATATGTATAATGTTTAAGTGGCGTTCTACATTCTCACACCCAAACCTTACTGTTATATATATTTGCCAAACGAACATAATTCATATCCACAATAGCATGTAATGCACCAATAATATATATAATACATATACATTTACATATTAAAGTATTCGGGGGCACGGGTGGCCCAGTCGTCTAAGGCGCCGCGATTCGCTGTGCAGAGTTGCGTCCCTTGGGTACGCCAGAAACCTATGATTGTGGGTTCGAATCCCGGTTCGCCCCGATTATGTTTCTAGGTTTGTCAGCACCATACCCGTGCTCGTGGGTTTCACCGAAGTGGTAAACGTCTGAGACTTGCATCACTTCGGGCTTTCCTCCCACATTAAGCTGACACGCCGCGATATAACTGGAATACTGTTAAAAGCGGCGTTAAACCCAACTCACTCACACTCATAAAGTATTCATAAGAAATGGTAGATACATCGTATTTAATCAAAAAAATATGCAGTGTATCATAAATGAAGCGACAGGTGTCATTTAATTGCGTAATAAACATATTGAGAAATCTACCAAAAGCTTCATACTTAGAACGTTGATCAATGGTATTTTCGCGCTTAGAGGGCTTTCTTGTCACAGTGCTGTATTAAAAGTAGAAAGTATAAACTTTTGTCGAAGATTAGTGAAGGCATGACATATAAATAGGATATGACATTCGCCTTCAGTTTCACTTAATACGTAGGGGTCTCTGATATATACTTATAGTGTTACACAACACGATCGCCGTGATATAACTGAAACACTGTTCCAGACTCAACTCACTCACTCCCAATTTCGACCCGTGAAGATCCGGGTTACAAAAGGTCTTCAGCAACCCATGCTTGCCGTAAAAGGCGACTATGCTTGTCGTAAGAGGCGACTAACAAGATCGGTTGGTCAGACTCAGTGACTTGGTTGATGCATGTCATCCATCTCAATTTCGTGGATCGATGCTCATGATGTCAATCACTGGAAAGTCTGGTCCAGACTCGATGTTTTTTACAGACCGCCGTTATATAGCTGGAATATTGCTGAGTGTGGCGTTTTTTCAAATTCGAAAAATCGGTGTTTCCTGCTCATTTTACCCAAGAAAGAATCAAGGCTTGAAATTGTCTGATAAGTCCTGTTAGGTCCAGTATTTCGAAGGGTACGAAACATCAGCTTTTGAGTGTCCCTTTGAGGATGCTTCTCTACCTAATCATTTATCAGTGATACAATCGCTACATGCAGAATGGACATCATCGTGTGGAGGGCGTCCTTGAGGGCACTATAAGTACTTCCTGATGGTTTCAGGACAACTATACCGACCATGTTATCACTATCTTCCTGTTTAACTGATCATGCATATGACGGTGTAGGTACGATTGATAACACTTTCTGGCCTACTTCCTGTTCGAGATAGTACCTTTCACTGACGCGACAAGATCCCGTCAATCTTAATGACCGACCATTTGTTATTCTTGGGGTGGGCTGTGGTGGCGCGGCTGGAATTGTGTATGGTGTCCAGATATTGTTTCAGATACAGATGGAAATCCAGATATATATTGTTTTATTAAAACGATGAGCCTAACATCTTTTTTAAATAACACCTGGCAACAATAACAATGCTGTTTCAATTTCTATGGTTTTTTTCACTCATCGGAGGCATATTTTGAAATGGTCAGTTGAGATATATCTGATTCTTAAATCATAACTCAGTACTTATAAAACATATTTCTATGTATTATTTCATTGGTTTAATGGGGGCGGTCGGGTAGCCTAGTGGTTAAAGCGTTCGTTCGTCACGCCAAAGACCTGCGTTTGATTCCCGACATGGGTACAATGTGTGAAGCCCGATTCTGTTGTCCCCCGCCGTGATATTGCTGGAATATTGCTAAAAGCGGCGTAAAACCATACTCACTCACTAACTCACTCATTGGCTTCATGTTTTGTGATATGGTGCCTAGATGCATGGTACATAATATGAATAATATTTGGAGGTTGCTTTTTATTGAAGATTGTGGTACTGCTTGGATCGTTTTCTTTCAAGAAGAAAACATATTTTGATAAGTAAAATCAGTTATATAAGTTATAATAAAATAAGTTAAAATATCTCTTGTTCATATTAAAATGTCCGCGTGGTATCCACAGTAAATTAGTGAGTGAGTTGGGTTTAACGCCGCTTTTAACAGTATTCCAGTTATATCACGGTGTGTCAGCTTAATGTGGGAGGAAGGCCCGAAGTGATGCAGGTCTCAGACGTTCACACTTCGGCTAAACCCACGAGCACGGGTATGGTGCTGACAAACCTGGAAACATAATTTTGGCGAACCGGGCGAATTAGGTTTGTCAATACAATAAAATTGCTCGTGGGTTTCAACAATGTGGTAAATTGTGGGATTTCCTCACACATCAAGCTGACACGCCATGATTTAACTGAAATGCTGACTACCTCATATATACATTTATGTTTTAAAGGTTCAACGCAAAAGAACACGTTTGAGCGGACTCCTGATAGGAAGTCGACACAGATCTATCTTGATGATCCTGAGAATATCTGGTCTTGTCTTATGGAGGCAAAGAAAAGGCAGACGCAGTCAGTGGTGATGTCATACACTAGACCAGGTAGGGCAGAGATAGAACACGACCTTGAGTATCTGAGATACACTTGGCTATGAAGATGTACATGAGTGAGTATTTCGTTCCAGTCACTGTACTGATGACAAGAAATAAGGGAACAACTCTGTAGGAATGCAACAATAATTGAACCGTTAATAGACAAGTTCTTATTGGTCCAAGAAAGCCTTAAACGGAACGTATTTCTCACTATTTTTACCAAGTTGAATAATACATTACACAACTTTTGAGGTACAATAGAGCATGCTCGTTCCACAAAAATGTTTTTAAACGACCCGTGTTCAAAAGTGGTTTGTCAGGGTTGGAGCAATCATTGCTTTAGTGCAGCTTTCAAAAGCTTTATAGAAGAAGGAGAACATTTCCTAATTTGACACAGGAGTGACCAAACTGATGTCCCTATTTTGACTCCCCTGTTTATTCAGGTGAACAATGACTTGCCTTTGCATGTGTTTGTGACGGCTACCACCGGTGGGGCAGGATATGTTCACCTTTTCGCGAACACCTGGTACCATCCCTATTTCATAGTGATTCATAAACACATGCGTATGATTTAGTCAGAATCGTACAGTTGACTCAGCAGTGATTTATGATGGTTACTGAAAGGGCATTATGTATGCAAATTGTGCCCAGGGCTACCGGTAGAGCATGACCTGAACGCGAAACTTGGTGTCACCACTGACTTTCAGTGAACAATTCATATAGTTCCCATCACCAGTTTGTCTTTCACGTCCAGTGGAGTCTATTTCGGCAAATAATCGAGACTGGTTACTCTCTGGCTTTGACGTTTTATATTTACAGGAAATCTATCATTGGAAATTTGTGTAATACTTCCTGATATATTTCTCTTTCAAACCGTTACAGTTGATGGAAGTGCAGACGAATGTTGGGCCAGGTCCCTGTATCATGGCATAGTCAAGTTCTCTGACGAAAGGGGGAGGTCAGATCATCCACTGAATGACATTAGACTGGCTGTAGAGAACATACAGGACTTTGTCCAGGTCCTACTACGTCTGAAGACAATGGAGCAGATGGGCGAGACAGATGAACTCATCTCATGTGAGTCTTGCAATCTGAACTCATATCATGTGAATTCTGCACTCATCTCATGTGAGTCTTGAAACGTGAACTCATCTCGCGTGAGACTTGAAATCAGGATTAATGTGACATTTGAGTCTTCAGTTGAAATCTAATTTAATCTCGTGTATGTTTTGAAATGTGAACTCATCTCATGTCTTGAAATCTTCAAATCGAACCAAACAAGAAAGTCTGTGTACAATGAGACGACAAGGAAGATCTTTGGTAGGTAGTCTTTGTACGTGCATTATTTATCAACCCATCCATCCATCCATCCATCCATCCATCCACTCATCCATCCATCCATCCATCCATCATCCATCGCGTTTCTAACCGTGTGGGACGTACAATCTTGACATAAAATTCCATGCGCTACTTAAGCATTGACCTCACACATGTACAACTATAGCACCAGAGATTAAACATTTAGTTACAGGATACCCGACAAAATAGAAGCCTGACCAGCAGTGACAATGAGCCCGACCTAGCGACAATCAGTAAAATCTGACCACTGACAGACAGTAAGCAAGCCTGCAACTCCTTAGCCGGCATCCGAGAAAGTGTAAATTCCAAGATTGCTCAGGATAAATCTGAACATTATTTATCCTTAGACGTAACAGTGCTCAGACACCTCAGGCGTCTGAAGTCGCTGGGCAGGAATGCGTCCCTGTGGAGTGTCGGAGACCTGTGATCGCTTCGGTTATGTTTCTAGGTTTTTCAGCACCATACCCGTGCTCGTGGGTTTCACCAAAGTGTTAAACATCAAAGGTGTGCATCACTTTGCGTTTTCCTCCCACATCAAGCTGACACGCAGGAATATAACAGAAATACTGTTCAAAGCGGCGATAAACCTAACTCAATTCCTCACTCACTTTCAAGTCATTATTATTATTATTAATATCACATTGTGTGCATTTCAGGAAAAAGATGTTAGGATGCTCTCTACGTTCTCCAAACATATATAGATGTGTGTTGCCATTACGAATGAACCAGTTGCAGTATGATGGTCAAAGCTCTTCGCGATCACACGTTTGTACTCCCTCCACTCTGGCCTCGATACGTACATCCAGGATGTGCTCAGTTAACAATACGATACTGTGCAGTGTAGATTAAATGCATTCATTGCTGATTATGGAGAGGATACAGGGGTTAATAATTAACACACTTCGAGCATGTAATGGTATCAAGTGTTTTAACATCAAAGTCTACATTGCTGTCAAGCCATATAACGACAGACATTATGGCGCCGACAAATGCATGGTTATCTAACCACGGACTGTTATTAGGTCCGTGTTGAGTCTCACGACTGACTGCAACCATATCCTGACCTACAGATAGTCATCGAGTCATAAGGCTGGAATGCTTAAAGTAAAATGTGCTGAAATACGATACAATAGAACACCAATGCCGTTTCAGAAATGACCACCCGACGGCTTCGCGTCCGAGATTACTGCACTCATGTGGCTACGAGCATGTGTGTGTCTGCTTGTACTAGTCCGGACTGATGACGATTTTAGCCCACTGAGATAAGTGTAACAAGAATACCCAACTCAACACAGTATACTCACTCCATTGGAAATCCATGGCTGCACACGTCAGCACTACATCTTCTTAAACGTATCAGTGAGTGAGTTGGGTTTAACGCCGCTTTTAACAGTATTCCAGTTATATCACGGCGTGTCAGCTTAATGTGGGAGGAAAGACCGAAGTGATGCAGGTCTCAGACGTTTACCACTTCGGTGAAACCCAAGAGCACGGGTATGGAGCTGACAAACCTAGAAACATAATCGGGGCGAGCCGGGATTCGAACCCACAATCATAGGTTTCTGGCGTGCCCAAGGGACGCAACTCTGCACAGCGAATTGCGGCGCCTTAGACGACTGGGCCACCCGTGCCACCTTTAAACGTATCATGCAAAAACAAGCTACTAATGCGAGTGAACATTGTTAAATGTCCTTTATTTCGGTTACTAAGAGCCAACACCAATGCCGTTTCAGAAATGACCACTCGATGGCCAGCTTTGAGCGTATGGTGTGAGTGAAGGTCAAGCCCATTACACGTTTAGCCTTGATATATTTTTAAAACCAGGGGATATTGTCCTCTCGAGTTATTTGAGCTGTAACGTTAAACAATTAGCACCCAGGATACCCGACAACAAAATAAGCCAAACCAGCAGTGACAGTCACGCTGACACACCGACACTGGGTAAAATCTGACCGCTGAAAAGCAGTAAGCAAGATCTACACTTCAGTTAGATCTACACCAACGTGATCACGACATGTATACACCTCTCTGTTGTTTGACACTCCCAGATTGAGTGAGTTCGGTTGAACACATATACAAAAAGTATTCAGTTACCTATGTATCAGGGAATACCAAGATAACACTGTCTGTAGACGTTTACCACTTTGGTGGAACCAACAAGTCCTTGTAAGATGCTGACAGAGTTGGTTGGTTGGTTGGTTTGCTGTTTAACGCTGCACAATTTTCCAGCTATATGACGGCGGTCTGTAAATAATCGAGTCTGGGCCAGACAATCCAGTGATTAAGATCATGAACATAGATCCACCCAATTGGGATCGATGACATGCGTCAACCAAGTCAGCGAGCCTGACCACCGATCCCGTAAGTCGCCTTTTACGTCAAGCATAGTCGCCTTTTACGGCAAGCATGAGTCACGGGTATAAAATACTGGCATAAGTATAAGGGCATAAATTTGTACAGCTAGGTTTACTGTGGCATCAAATTTGCTTTGCTTTACACGAAACGATGTGGTTTGTAAACATATGCCCTAATACACGCCATGATATGTATCTAGTAAATCACCGAGCCTGACCCGATCCACGACAAGCAAGGGGAACTGGGGACCTATTCTTCCTGGAATCCTCGGGACGGTTGTGGGGCCTTCACAATAGACACATTATCATATTATTTGACCATGCTATGTATTGTTACAGTGCGGAACAGATTACAGCCCCACGAGGAAGCTGTCCAGGAGTTCACTGTGTGTGTCACGTCTCCTGATCACGATAAAATAGATCGGTGCATTGAAAATCTACAGTCCAGTTGGCATATTCTTATTAAAGAGAGAAAGCTCAAGCAAAGCATGCGGGATATCACTTACGATCACGTAAGATGCCCCTTAATATTCGTTTGTTTGTTGTTTAACGCCGCACTTAGCAATATTCCAGCTAAATGACGGCGGTCTGTAAATAATCGAGTCTGGAACAGGCAATCCAGTGATTGACGTCATGAGCATCGATCCACGCAATTAACACGCAGCAACCAAGTCATCGAACCTGACCACCCGTTAGTCGCCTCTTACGGCAAGCATGGGTTGTTGAAGACTTATTCTCTACCGCGGGTCCCCTAGATCTACGAAAATGCTTCTAACGAAATAATATGTAATGACACGTATGTAAAGATATGTAATATATACAATTTCTGTCGCAGATGTATATCGTTCATCAGTAGTGTGTAGAGGTCTTTGAAAAGGGTAAAAGTATATTACTTTCTGGCGGAGCGAGAGGAGTTTGGCCGTCACGCTTAAGACCGGGGTTCGATTCCCACAGTGTGTGTATCCCATTTCTTAAATTACCAAACTCTATTGACTCACTCACTCGATCAATGACCATTGTAAGGCCTGTGTTTAAATATTCCTCATACATTAAACAACGTTGCTGATCTGACAGAAAATGACTTTCATCAGAGGCTACAGTAGTAGCATCAACTATTGAATGTGATACACTAATCTGTCCATATGTCACAAGTCCATCTTTGTTTAAATTCATCCCCAAACCAGGTTTCCTGTTCATGATAAAAACGAGCTGTGATTTCAGAAACACGACCTGAAAGAACTAGCAGCCATGCATAACGTCCATGTAAGCATTGCCAAAGGTCGCATGACCATCACTGGGACTGAGAACTGTATGCTGAAAGCTGAAGCGGCTATACTCGACCGACTCAACAACTTCAAGTCTGCCAGACCAGGATGTACATGGTATTGGCATAAGTCGTCCAGACTGGTGCCATGTGGCGAACCCTGCAGCAGGATGCTTGAAGCAGCTTCCCGGTCATCCCTCTCTTTAGCCGTTGTGAAGGATGACTCGGGCAAGTGCTTCACGGCAAACCTAGCAGCGGCTCCACCAGTGATATACGCGTTTGGGCGACCAGAGAGCAAGGCGGAGCTCGTTCGGTCTAGAGGCAAGTAAACAGTACACTGTTCCGATGTTATAGGGGCAGGGGCGAAACCAACTCATACAAATATCAGTTCCGATTTCTGTAAAGCAAATCAATAGCCGCTGCAAGTTGCTGTTCTCGGGTGTGTCAGAACCGTTGGTTCGATAATGATTCTTGGTAAAACAGTATCTTACCTGTGTTCTAAATGGTAAAGAGATGTATCGGTATGGACTTTCTTCCCTTCTTTAAATGACAAGCCGTGGTAACTGAAATACTTTTCAAGGCGACGTTAAACCCACTATCACTCAGACACTCACCCCAAAATTTCTTTTCTCAAACAAAGTTCATTCTATCTTTTTCTCAAAACCAAATGAAATGTGAAACCATTTGGCACTCGGCCATTGCATGTATACGTTTCATGTGAGGATCCAGGGTAGAATAGGTCTTCAACAAACCATGCTTGCCGTAAAAGGTGACTATGTTTGTTGTAAAGGGCGACTAACGAGATCGGGTTGTCTGGCTCGCTGACTTGGTAGATTCATGTCATCGGATCCCAATTGCGTAGATCGATGCTGATGAATTCAGTCACTTGAATGTCTGGTCCAGAATCGAGTATTATCAAACGGCCTTTTAAAGATGGAACAAACAAGCAAACAATATCATATGACCTGTCCTTACTGATACAATGTCGAGATTAAGATCTTAGTGCAAAATATCAATCAATCAACAACTGAATTAGTTCATCTGCTTCCAAAGACAACACTTAGATAATCAGTTAAACGTGTATAATTGGAACTTTTTATATGGCTTTAACTTAGCTAGCAAATTAGCAGCCAGCAATGTCATGATGTGTTATCATTGCAAGTGTGTAATCAGCTCAGCATAACCCTAACATGGTAAAACACTTTTATCAGATCCGCCTACCTATATCTCTTCAAGGATATCATCGAGCGATACTCAAAGGCTGCAAGATCTAAAGTAACATGTGACTTAAATACGTCACAATGTTATTTCTTTTCTGCACTTGGCAGTAGTACTACGAGTGCTTTAGAAAAAAATCAGTGAAACTAATGCTTGCTCGTTCTGGAAGCCTTGATTTAAGCAGCGCTTTGAAAGACCGCTCAATGACTTTAAAACCTTGTTGCATTTTTCGTAGATAGCCGCGGTAACAAACTGCCAGCATTTTGGAGCCACCCCCAAAGTGGAGAGGGTTACCGTGTTAGGCTCGCGAAAGGATTTGAGTATGACAGTGTTGTGGACAACTTGAAACGTACCCTGGGACATAAATGCAAAGTGGAAAAGGTGAAACAGTATAGGTCAAGATTGTAATCGTTGTAAATGAATATTTCCTTGCATATAACAAGCAATCTGTTTGTAAGATATTCTGGGAGGTTGAATCTATATACATTGACAATGTAGATTTCATTTACTATGGTTTTTCATATCTGTAATGAAAGGGGAAAGCAATAAGGAATATAGACCAATCAAGAGATATTTTCAACTATATTTGTGTTTAAAAATAAAGTTGGGTTTTTTATTTATCCACTTTTTGAAAAAACAAGAGACACGATCATATGTGCCACAGAAAATAATTTTTTAAGCATATATAAGAAAAGACGCAGGTGTACGCTTCGTTTTGGGGAAACATTTTGAAAGGAATGCCATAACAAAATTGAATATATTGAAGTATCTTATTTTGAATTTGTAATATTCAGATTGAAAGGATCCAGAACCAGACACTCTACAAGCAGTATATGACCAAGGCAGAGCAGCTTCAGAAACAAAATGGCGCCCTGTTCACCAATGAAAGAACGTTGTGGCATGGAACAAGTGAACGTAATACAGCTCTGATCAACTCCAGGGGCTTCAGCAGAAGCTCCAGCGGCCACACAGGTACGTGCAGTGTCTGCTGGAGGATGGCAGAGTGTTGTCCTTCTATTGGTCATCATTGCTGATCACTTGCTGATCATTTGATTCATGAGTATTTGATAGTTTTTTGATACCGCGAACACCTGGTATCATCACTATTTCAGATAAATAAATAAACACAGGCTTCTCATACAGTCGTAATCGTACAATCGACTCTGCTTTTAGATTTCTTATGAAAATGGGTTTTGTCTCTTTCATTTATTAAGTATATTTGACTTTGTAATCCTTACCCTTATGTAATAATGTGCTCACTAACCTACAATCTGGTTTCACGCGGGTAACACCACCTCAAATCAGTTGACATATATATTTATATGATTTTATTGCAAAGGCTTTAGATTAAGGTAAGGAAGTTAGATCTGTATTTTGTGACATAAGTAAATCTTTTGATACAGTCTGGCACAAAGGAATCATTTATAGGCCATAACATTATGTTATCTGTAGACATTTATTGAGATGGTTTGATAGTTACTTAGAAAATCGATATCAAAAGGTTGTTATAAATGGCTATAGCTCAGATCCAAAAGCTGTCTTGGCAGGTGTGCCACGGGGCTCGGTCCGAGGACCATTATTGTTTATTATCTATATCAATGACATTGTTGAAGGAATAAATAGTAATATCATACTTTTTGCTGATGACACAAATTTGTATGTGATCATAGAAGATCCTGACATAGCTGCTCGTAATCTCAATAATGACTTGGACAGAATTTCAGGATGGGCTGCTAGATGGCAAGTTAAATTTAGTCCCGAAAAAAACTGAATCTATTCAGTTTAACCGTAAAGTAAACCCTAGTCACAAACCTAACGTATATATGAATGGTACAGAAATCAAAGTCATAAGCATCTAGGTATTACTTTACAAAGTAATTGTACATGGAAAATGCACATTAATGATATTGCAAGGAAATTTTGTCCTCTGGTTAATTGTTTTTTGTTTGACCAACATGTTTTTTTAGTTAAGCTATAGCCGCTTAGAGATGAATAACCCGTTTCTTCACATATTTCCGAATGAATTTATACACTCTTCTCACAGATCCTCATGTGGTTCTTAATACATCCAAATGAAGATTTCCTAATAGTATTTCTTGCTTCCTATAACAATTATTCCAAATGCAATCAAAATAATCAGATACTGGTAACATGGATAAGTTATATAAAGTTTAGAGGCTATTAATTTGAAGACGGTACAAGCTTCTTAAACATTTGATCATTGGACTATTTTTGGCGATAGTCCTATCGATATGCATCTGCCACGGACCATCATGCTGCAGAGTAAATATAAGCGACAAAACCCTTTCCCTTGTCATAAGAAATCTCTGCCAAAGCAGAGTCGATTGTATGATTCCGACTATATAGGGAGCATGTGTTTGTGAGTCACTATTAAACAGTGACATCAGGTGTTCAGGAAAAGGTGCGCGTATCCTGTCCCACTGGTGACACCCTACCGCATCGGACATCACTTTTGAAAGTTTTACTGGAGCCTTGAATGTTGTAACCTTGATCGAACAACTTCTGAGCAAGAGTCGTGTGACGCTCTTTTTACAATCTTGGTAGGCAGGGCATGGTTGGTTGTAACTCAAAAGTTGATACCAAGGGCTGGAGCTGCAGGAATAGTGTTTGACATGAAGGGAAAATTGACTATTGGAAAGTTTAAATCACATCTCTTGTCATACAATCTTGTGGATTGTGGATTGTCATTTTGAATTTTTAATATTAAGTCCAAGATATTTGTGAGAATTAACAGATTCAATCTTGATATCGTTGATGAATAAATCTGGCACTGTACTTGCTGTTCTCTTTCTAGAAAATACAACAGATTCAGTCTTATGAGGAATAAAATTAACCCCCCAAGGTTTTGCCCATTTTGCTATCAATTCTAAATCAGTATTTAAAAGATTTTGTTGATGAATCAGGGTTATCAATAATTACATATAGAGATAAGTGGATATCACACTTGATATCAGTTATAATGTCATTAATGAATACCAAACATTATTATGGCCCCAAGACCGAACCCTGTGGGACTGTGGGTTTACTGGTTTTATGTTTTAAAGCCATTTATTAAAGTGAGATGGTGTCTTAAATAACTTTCAAACCATTTTAAGAGGGAGCCACATATCCCACTATGACGCAAAGACATTAAAAATAAGTTAAGGAGGTAAAACATACGTGTGTGGTATGGGGAGACAAACGATGATTTTGGATTGGAAAACGAGGTGTTTTTACAGATGTTGGATAAAGCGTGTATATATGAGAAGCCGTGTCTATTTTGAAACCGAAAAAGAAAACGTGACTGAGTGGTCCATCCACACATTTCGTAAAGTGTAAAATTAATTTTTCTAGCTCGACAGTTATTTCAAACGCAGGTACAGTAAGGTTTGTTTTTTGTGACTTTATTGAAAAAAAATGTCACAAACTGAGAACTCATAGTGTTATGTACGTTTTCGTTTTGTATACCGGATCATCTATAATTTCCAAATTTAAAAGTGTTTAGCATGCTTTGACAAAGGAGATGCTCATCCCACTTATCCCTTCTAGGTCTGCATATGTTTGTGTTTGATTGCTGCAGCTTCCCCGTACGGAGAAGGGTGTTACTTTGCTGTGAAGTCGAGCCACTCCGCCAACCCCCTGTACTCTCCCCCAGACAAGTATGGATGGAAGAGGATGTACCAGTGTCGTGTTCTAACTGGCAAATTCACGCTTGGGAGAGCCCGGATGAAGGACACGCCCTTCAGGGGGCAAGGGAAGAACGTCAAGTACGACTCCGCCGTTGATGATGTGAAGAAACCCAGTTGTTTCGTTGTATTCAATGACACACAGGCGTACCCGGAGTATCTCATCACTTTTAGAATAGTTAAGTGATGTTCTCCAGAGCTTTATGTTATGAAACGAATATGGCTCTGGTATGTCAAGTTCCGTCAAATCTACAGGAATTGAACATGTTTACCCACTAAATTTAACTGTTCATCTTTTGTTTAAATTATGAACATTTAGCATTCATTGTAGGTCTACCAAGCATGGTATTGGCCACCGTTATGATAATTGAGTATTAATGCTGTACAGTTTGATACGAACCTACCATCATGGTGCGTGATATCAGTGCACGTGTATGTCCCCGTTAATAACAAATTGAATATTATCGTACTCAGTGCACCTGTCACGCATTGTCATTTTCCTGCGACAAAGTTGGGACAGCGTTTGGTTTTGCGTGTAATTGCCCCGCGAGGAAAACACGCCCGCCCGCCCGACCGACAGACCGACAGACAGACCGCACTCCCGCCCGCACTCACGCACACTTTCCACAATCACATCGTCCGACACATCTATTTTTATATCTTCAATTTTATCTGCAACACAAACAGAAAATGATTCTTTCATAAATGTATACGTACATGTAGTCACGTCAATATGTGTTGTAGAATATTGTCAGGAATAAAAGGACGTTTTACAAATATTACACCTGTGCAGATTTTTTTTCATGGGTAATTTAACATAATGAAGGTCATTCGGTCAGACGTAATACATGATCACACGATAATGCTGTTTTATTTGCTTTATTCATGAAACAAGTTTTGCTTTTATGGCAAATATGGCAGTTTGGACAAACAGGTTTGATCTGGAACTGCCGATCTGTCCAGAAGTGTGCTGTCCGGTGGAACCGATCTCATAGCATCCCGAACCTGGATAACACAGGATGAAGGAGCGGAACATGACATGACCAGTACAAGGGGAACACAACGACATATACCTATATACATTGCTGGTGTGTGTATTGCCCTACCTTGTAGTATATACATTGCTGGTGGGTGTATTGTCCTACCTTGAAGTATATACATTGCTGGTGTGTGTATTGCCCTACCTTGTAGTATATACATTGCTGGTGGATATATTGTCCTACCTTGTAGTATATACATTGCTGGTGTGTGTATTGCCCTACCTTGTAGTATATACATTGCTGGTGGATATATTGTCCTACCTTGTAGTATATACATTGCTGGTGTGTGTATTGCCCTACCTTGTAGTATATAAATTGCTGGTGGGTGTATTGTCCTACCTTGTAGTATATACATTGCTGGTTGGTGTATTGTCCTACCATGTATTATATACATTGCTGGTGGGTGTATTGTCCTACCTTGAAGTATATACATTGCTGGTGTGTGTATTGCCCTACCTTGTAGTATATAAATTGCTGGTGGGTGTATTGTCCTACCTTGTAGTATATACATTGCTGGTGGGTGTATTGTCCTACCTTGTAGTATATACATTGCTGGTGGGTGTATTGTCCTACCTTGTAGTATATACATTGCTGGTGGGTGTATTGTCCTACCTTGTAGTATATACATTGCTGGTGGGTGTATTGTTCTACCGTGTAGTATATACATTGCTGGTGGGTGTATTGTCCTACCTTGTAGTATATACATTGCTGGTGGGTGTATTGTCCTACCTTGTAGTATATACATTGCTGGTGGGTGTATTGTCCTACCTTGTAGTATATACATTGCTGGTGGATGTATTGTCCTACCTTGTAGTATATACATTGCTGGTGGGTGTATTGTCCTACCTTGTAGTATATACATTGCTGGTGGGTGTATTGTCCTACCTTGAAGTATATACATTGCTGGTGTGTGTATTGTCCTACCTTGTAGTATATACATTGCTGGTGTGTGTATTGCCCTACCTTGTAGTATATACATTGCTGGTGTGTGTATTGCCCTACCTTGTAGTATATACATTGCTGGTGTGTGTATCGTCCTACCTTGTAGTATATACATTGCTGGTGGGTGTATTGTCCTACCTTGTAGTATATACATTGCTGGTGTGTGTATTGTCCTACCATGTAGTATATACATTGCTGGTGGGTGTATTGTCGTACCTTGTACTATATACATTGCTGGTGGGTGTATTGTCCTATCTTGTAGTATATACATTGCTGGTGGGTGTATTGTCCCACCTTGTAGTATATACATTGCTGGTGGGTGTATTGTCCTACCTTGTAGTATATACATTGCTGGTGGATGTATTGTCCTACCTTGTAGTATATACATTGCTGGTGGGTGTATTGTCCTACCTTGTAGTATATACATTGCTGGTGGGTGTATTGTCCTACCTTGTAGTATATACATTGTTGGTGGGTGTATTGTCCTACCTTGTAGTATATACATTGCTGGTGTGTGTATTGTCCTACCTTGTAGTATATACATTGCTGGTGGATGTATTGTCCTACCTTGCAGTATATACATTGCTGGTGTGTGTATTGTCCTACCTTGTAGTATATACATTGCTGCTGTGTGTATTGTCCTACCATGTAGTATATACATTGCTGGTGGGTGTATTGTCGTACCTTGTACTATATACATTGCTGGTGGGTGTATTGTCCTACCTTGTAGTATATACATTGCTGGTGTGTGTATTGTCCCACCTTGTAGTATATACATTGCTGGTGGGTGTATTGTCCCACCTTGTAGTATATACATTGCTGGTGGATGTATTGTCCTACCTTGTAGTATATACATTGCTTGTGGGTGTATTGTCCTACCTTGTAGTATATACATTGCTGGTGTGTGTATCGTCCCACCTTGTAGTATATACATTGCTGGTAGGTGTATTGTCCCACCTTGTAGTATATACATTGCTGGTAGGTGTATTGTCCCACCTTGTAGTATATACATTGCTGGTAGGTGTATCGTCCCACCTTGTAGTATATACATTGCTGGTGGGTGTATTGTCCTACCTTGTTGTATATACATTGCTGGTGTGTGTATTGTCCCACCTTGTAGTATATACATTGCTGGTAGGTGTATTGTCCCACCTTGTAGTATATACATTGCTGGTAGGTGTATCGTCCCACCTTGTAGTATATACATTGCTGGTGTGTGTATTGTCCCACCTTGTAGTATATACATTGCTGGTAGGTGTATTGTCCCACCTTGTAGTATATACATTGCTGGTGTGTGTATTGTCCTACCTTGTTGTATATACATTGCTGGTGTGTGTATTGTCCCACCTTGTAGTATATACATTGCTGGTGGGTGTATTGTCCTACCTTGTAGTATATACATTGCTGGTGGGTGTATTGTCCTACCTTGTAGTATATACATTGCTGGTAGGTGTATTGTCCCACCTTGTAGTATATACATTGCTGGTGGATGTATTGTCCTACCTTGTAGTATATACATTGCTGGTGGGTGTATTGTCCTACCTTGTAGTATATACATTGCTGGTGTGTGTATCGTCCCACCTTGTAGTATATACATTGCTGGTAGGTGTATTGTCCCACCTTGTAGTATATACATTGCTGGTGGGTGTATTGTCCTACCTTGTAGTATATACATTGCTGGTAGGTGTATTGTCCTACCTTGTAGTATATACATTGCTGGTGTGTGTATCGTCCCACCTTGTAGTATATACATTGCTGGTAGGTGTATTGTCCCACCTTGTAGTATATACATTGCTGGTAGGTGTATTGTCCCACCTTGTAGTATATACATTGCTGGTAGGTGTATTGTCCTACCTTGTAGTATATACATTGCTGGTGGGTGTATTGTCCTACCTTGTAGTATATACATTGCTGGTAGGTGTATTGTCCCACCTTGTAGTATATACATTGCTGGTAGGTGTATTGTCCTACCTTGTTGTATATACATACCTGGTGGGTGTATTGTCCTACCTTGTAGTATATACATTGCTGGTGGGTGTATTGTCCTACCTTGTAGTATATACATTGCTGGTGGGTGTATTGTCCTACCTTGTAGTATATACATTGCTGGTGGGTGTATTGTCCTACCTTGTAGTATATACATTGCTGGTGGGTGTATTGTCCTACCTTGAAGTATATACATTGCTGGTGGGTGTATTGCCCTACCTTGTAGTATATACATTGCTGCTGGGTGTATTGCCCTACCTTGTAGTATATACATTGCTGCTGGGTGTATTGTCCTACTTTGAAGTAAGAGCCGGCTAGCCGTGGTAATAATGTGTCACATAACGAATTGTGTCATCATTGAAAGTGACTTTAATTTTGACTCTGCATTTTACCTTATTTCAGTCATAGCACGGTGGCCATATAATTACGGGGCAAAGGCAGTGGGACCTACATCGGAGTTTGGGAATCCAGAGTGCTGGATGTGCTTTGGTAAGGATTAGGGTCATAACATTCCGTTAGCTTGACGGTTTAGACGGATCCTGTGAACAGTGAGTGAGTATTCCAGTTACATCACGGCGTGTCAGCTTAATGTCGGAGGTAAGCCCGAAGTGACGTCTATCAGACATTTATCACTTTGGTAAAATCCACGAGCATGGGTATGGGGCTGACAAAACAAGGAACGCAGGATTATAACTATATTTATCGAGGGTTGCCATCGAACGTTCATTCCATTGGGAAAATGAAGCTTATATCATCGTGCTATTTTATAGTCACTGGATTCCAGCATTAGAAGAAAAACCATCAAAACTGAGAAATATGTGGTGTAACGAAGGATGTCATGGACTATATGTTATTCTTATCATTTCCGTGCAGTGGAAATTCCACTGTACACTATACCAGGTCACATGTTACTTATGGTCTTCCTGTCTTTGGGTGTCGCTCGATAGCTTCCTTTCTACTCACCGCTTCCACTTGTTTGAAAACTCTCTAGAAGTTTCTGTAAGCGACGTTCTCCAGCTCTGCCTCTGACCAGCCTCTTCGGAGCAGCTCGGCGAATAACAGAGGGTAGCTCGACACGTCAGCCATCTCCCCTTTCACCCTGAAGGTACAACACATCAACGCCTTAATGGGTGGGGATAACGCCCCTTCGTACAATACATCCCCAGTGTGTATACCGAGTTAGAACTGATCCCGGACAACCGATGAGGAGGCTGAATGCATCGACTAGTCAGGATTGGTGACTTGGTTCTTTTTTACCAGAAACATGCTGATACTGATCAATCACTGGTTTGTCTGATCCAGACTCGACTGTTTACAAATCACCGAGAGGGTGGATGTACATGTATGTTTCTCGCCCAAATGGACGTCAACCAAAATACACAAAGAGTGAGTGCGTTGGGTTACACGTTCCTTGCTTGCTTTTGACTTGTACCATATTTCGGGTGAATAAGTGACTTTCCTTCGCATGTGTTTTTGACGGGTGTCACCGGTGGCGCATTATGCGCTCACCTTTTCGGGAACACCTGGTATCATCGCTATGATTCATAAACACATGCTCATGTTTACCATGTTTCAGGTGAATAATTGACTTTCCTTTTCATGTGTTTTTGACGGGTGTCACCGGTGGGGCATTATGCGCTCACCTTTTCGGGAACACCTGGTATCATCGCTATGATTCATAAACACATGCTCATGTTTACCATGTTTCAGGTGAATAATTAACTTTCCTTCGCATGTGTTTTTGACGGGTGTCACCGGTGGGGCATTATGCGCTCGCCTTTTCGGGAACACCTGGTATCATCGCTATGATTCATAAACACATGCTCGTGTTTACCATGTTTCAGGTGAATAATTGACTTTCCTTCGCATGTGTTTTTGACGGGTGTCACCGGTGGGGCATTATGCGCTCGCCTTTTCGGGAACACCTGGTATCATCGCTATGATTCATAAACACATGCTCATGTTTACCATGTTTCAGGTGAATAATTGACTTTCCTTCGCATGTGTTTTTGACGGGTGTCACCGGTGGGGCATTATGCGCTCGCCTTTTCGGGAACACCTGGTATCATCGCTATGATTCATAAACACATGCTCATGATTATACAGAATCGTACAAACGTCTCTGCTTTTAGCAGAGATTTCTTATCAAAATGAAAATGTTTGTTTACGCTTTTAGTTCAACAGTATAGTACATTTTTTAAATTGGTTGTCATATCACAGCGTCCTTGCTTAATATGGGAGACAATCCCAAAGTACCGTTGGGCGTACCCATTTACCACTTTGTCATTGGTCTGTTGGCACCGTACTCTTGCTGATGGGTTTCACTGAAGTTGTAGAAGACTGTTTAAGCCCTGCATCACACAGAAATTTCCTGTCACAAAGTGACATAAATGCGACAGTACTGTTCGAAGCGGAGCTAAAGCCCCTATGTGATGCATAGCGTTCATGTTGACACTGCTTCTCTTTGCACGAGGAAGAAAGACCTTTACATTAAAACTTGGAATTATTCCTTTATCATCAGCCAAGATAACACGGACGTCCGATATCATGCATCAGGTTGGTTAGTCAATATGTAATCAATATGATTGTGGGTTTTACCAATTACGTCGTTGACACGAATCTTATCAACACTTGATCAATGCTGACGCATTACATACCATCAATACATACAAGTAGGTTAAGTAGTCAGATATGATAGGAAGTACATATACATATACCTGTGGGTATTACAGGTAAGAATATAGATCCACAGCAAACTAAAAGGCTACTAAATGGATCAGAGGTTAGTCTCGGTATATGTCATCGTGTCTTGGAATAATGCTGACTGTGCGATAAACAACGAAAAACAAATATATGTACAAATACAAGGGGATTACACAACACTTACCCAGAGCCGTCAAAATCACAGCCAATACCAGGATCAGCTTGCGGAAATGCGGAAATGGTCAGAGTCATCTGATAAAATATAATACCACACTGAAACCAAAAGCACTTTAACAGCGGAACTATCGACTTGCCTTTGCATGTGTTTGTAATGCGTGCAACCGGCGGGGATACGCTCACCTCCTCGCGAACACCTGGTATCATCACAATTTAAAGTGATTCATAATAAACACTGGCTTAAGGTACAGTCGGTGTTGTGCAATGTCCACTGCCTTTACCAAGAATTTCTTATGATCATGGAAAGGTGTTTTTTTTAATATTTCAAATAAAGTCAATGAGATGAGTTTATGTAGATAATCCCAAATATCAGAATGGAAATTCCTTGCTACATGTGTTAAAAACCGATCAGAAACGCTGTGCTTGTTTTCATTTCATTTATTTGATCTTAAAAACATCTTGAATATTTCCCAAGATACACGGTTTCTACCAAGTGATCTCAGATAAGACTCCCCCTATGACGCATACTGGTCATATTAACGTATAAAACAACATCTTACTGAATCATTTGTGATATTAATACTAATATTTCAATCATTACCATTATTTGGCTCATATCTGACGCAAATTGTTTCCGGAATAAAATATTACAATTATCTGGCATGTTTTTATACACACTCAAACCTCCCTTTATTACAAAACATATCCCACGCTTGTTTCCTATGGTTTATATCACAGTACAGAGTGAACGAGAGTGAGTGTCACGGAAATACTGCTGTCATTTTACGGCACATCAACAATATTGTAGCCATATATTGACCATGTGACCAGTGAAGATCCGGGTAGATAATAGGTCTTCAGCGACCCATGTTTGTCGTAAGAAGCGACTATGCTTGTCATAAGAGGCGATTAATGGGATCGGGTGGTCATGCTCCCTGACTTGGTTGATGTATGTCATCGAATCCAAATTACCAAGATCGATGCCGATTCACTGGACCGTCTGGTCCAGACTCGATTATTTACAGACTGCCGTCATACAACTGGAATTTGGACGTAAACAACAAACAAAACTGAACTTGGTATGAATAAAAACTTGTCGAAAAACTTGTTGGTATTAAATACTCTCATGCCTCCTTATTATGTTTGCTGGTTTACTGATTTATTTCTTACAACCTTGGGTCATTGGTCAATTTTTTTATAATTTAAAACATAGCCTAATGTTTTACAGACCACCTTCATATAGTTGGAACATTGCTTAGTGTGGCCTTAGACAACACTACTACTACTACTACTACTACTACTACTACTACTACTACTACTACTACTACTACTATTGCTGCGGCTACAACAACTACTACCATTACTACTACTTCTCCTGCTACTACAGTGGTGCCATTACTGTTATTGCTGATACAACTATTACCACTACAGCTGCTACTACCTCAACTACTACTACTACTATCACTACTACTACTGCTCCTACTACTACTGCTACTACTACTGCTACTACTGCTACTGCTACTACTATTGCTTCTACTACTACTACTACTACTACTACTGCTGCTACTACTACTACTACTACTACTCCTACTACTACTACTGCTGCAACTACTACTACTACTCCTACTACTACAGCTACTGCTACTGCTACTGCTACTACAGTAACTGTTACGGCTGTTACTACTACTACTGTAGCAGTTCGATAATCTATAGAGACACCTCTGAACACCATGATAAACGTAACCATGTAATAACGTATAACGTCATCTTCACCTTTCCAAAGTCTGTCAAGCCATGGTGGTTGGGAGTGTTGTGTCTTGTATCGTTACAGGAATCTGCCCTGAAATGTTAGTGACATACATCCATACACTTTCATATGAGACATTCCAGACTTGAAAACAGCAAGACACATGCACATTACCATGGGGTGTCACAGCTCCAGGTCAAGGTCATATATCTCACACCAAGGTCATAATACATGCGCAGTACGGCCAGGTACTTTATTGTCATCAATGTAATGTAGTTTCGATCAATGTACGAAAACACGACAAACCACTCCGTACTACGAGCACTTTAATCAAAGAATCCCTCCTTAATATATGTTTGTTTAGAGATATAGTTAGTATCTTAAAAATACACCATAGTGAGAGTCTCACCATCCTAAATAACAAGTGGTCGCAAATGGCAACAGTGTAATAGTCAACTTACAAAGCAAAGGTGGAAGTGATACAAGATGCTGACTTAGATGCTTATCCATTTGAGCAAAGACGAAACAAAGTTAATAAAGTGGACACGGGAGGGTCTATTCGGCTTGTCCCGAAATAACAAGGGTGTTGTTGATGACTAAGATTACCTGAGCCCCCAGTTCTCCTTGTCGTATTCGGGGGATGTCTGTTTGCGCCAGAAACTCGGGGTCCACAGGAAACAAGGACCGAGTGTCCTTCCGATCAACCTTCTCCAAATCGCCCTTGAAGTTTTTTATGATGTGCCAGCCGAGATCATTATGCCTGCACAAACACAAGCACTCATCACACAAAACCGAGATCTTTATGCCTGCAGAAACATAATCACTCATCTCACAGAGACGAGGGGGGTATGCCTCAAGAACCACCATCAAACATCTCACACAGCCTATGTCCTTTTGTTTGCGCAAACACCATCATACATCTCACACAAACGATTTACTTATGCCTGCACAAACAATCATATACAGCCGAGATTTTTAGGCCTGCACAACCACCATCATACATCTCCTCTTGATTTGGATGTCTTGTAGTATATGAAGGGGTGAAGTGAACAATTGTCAAATAAAGATGCATCTCTTGAAGTAGCAAACGGATTATTACAAAAACAGCTCATTCACTCACATTTCAGAGCTTACATTTTATCCCTTGAGTGGACAAAATATAATTATGTTCAAAAACAGTTATACCTCAAAGCAAGTCCATTCTTGGTGTCTCATATCATGATGAGACGATGTTGTCGACTCAGTATGACGCGTCGAACAGGACGTCTTGCACGTAGACCTGCTGCTCTTAACGGGTCCGTACGGTCTGGTCAGAGATTCTGCGCAGTCCGGGTATTTGGGATGCGGTTGAGGTGGCTATGGTCGCCCTTTCACGTAGGTGGCGCAGTCGGATGTAGCGGTCTTGGGCGGGGATGTTTACTCTTGATCGTCCTGACCTTGGCCGATCACTTGTTGACCCATGCTGTTGAAACCGATCCCATAGCTTTGAAAAGCTTGACTACAGCTCATCGGGATTCCCCTGCCTGCAAGCGGCCCACGTTGTGTCTTTGTGCGTCTGTTAGTCTTGGTATGCTGTTGAACTGTCACTGTTCGATTGACGCAGATGCCAGACAATCAAAACCCTGCATTTTAATAATATTACCGTTCATAGTGCTGCACCACGTGCAGTGCGTGCAGCTCCATGGCCCTTTTGCTAATGCACTGGGTGCGTTTTTTTCCGAATCGTACGTGTTTTGCATGCCCTTGTTGTGATCATTTTAATCCGGGAAATTTGTCACTGACACTTTACCACATTAAACCTCTTCATTTTGCACCTCTTTTTGTGGCCAAAATTATTCGCCCCGAATAACTGTACAATTGCCGTAAAGCAAAATGCAGTCATTCCTCTCATAATACTCTTTTTGGCTGTGTTGAGGATTCCAATGGGTTCGGTACCCTTATCGCCCCGACTACGATATCGTAGCACCGTGACCGATCTCGTTGGTTTCACCTCACACACTCATGCGTTCTTCAATTAATGCTCGGATTGGAAAACTCAAAACACGAGAATTTGGTCAGGAATTATAATTTATGCTTTAGGTATATCGATGTTCTGATGTCGTTCAATTTGACAATTCCCTACTACTGATTTACATATCTTAACAAGAAGTAAAATATACCAGTGAAAACGCTTCATCTGTTTCTTATTTAGATGAACTTTCACCTTATGCCGGACAAATCTCCAGCAGCTCAAGGCTATGGTGTCTACATTTTACAACAAGTCCCAGAGTGATGCAGGTCATAGACATTATCTCGAAACATAATCAGGGCGAACCGAGATTCGAATCCACGATTATAGATGTCAGATGGCCAATTCCCAACTACTTATTTACCCACCTTAACTAGAAGTAAAAGATACCCTTGAAACCGCCCCATCGAGCATAATCTTTCTTCGAAGATTTCAAAAGGCATCATACAACTCTTGCTCATATGTTCTTTGACATTCCAAAGGTTTTAAGGTAGACGTGGGGAGGATATTTCCAAATTTGGCACAAACGTAAAAAAAAATGCAATGGTGATATTATTTCAATTTCCATTACAGATTCTGCTAACTTTGTTGTCCAACTTCGAACATGTAGAAGTTTAATCAAAACTACAGATGTCAAATATCAGGAAAGTGTTAAGTAATATATGTTATGTAAAGTGTATCTATAGATCTAAAATCATATATAGATCCAAAAGTAGTAAGAAATCAGATAAAAATGAAAATATGTGATTGTTGACTAATTTCGGTTTATTACACGTGCTTGACATACGCACAGACAAGGATCAGTGGTGTGTGTGATGGCCGTCTTCACAGGAAGGTAGCGGCTTTCCCTCCAAATATCTGCAAATGCCAGGAAGCCTTTGAAAGAGTAAATACCGTACTCATAAATTCTCCAGTCTTAAAAAAGCAGATTTAAGCCAGCAATTTGTGTAAGTAAAATTGGTGCTGCTGGGTTGGTTTTTTTGTGAATGGAAGATGCAAAAGCATCGACCATCTTATTTGTGAGTTACGAGAACAAGAAATTATTGTACATTGGAGAAAGAAACCCTTGCTTTGATTTTGTCACGGTAACATTTTCAGGTGTATTTGGTTGATCCGCTCCCTTCCTTGTTTAGTTCTGTGCAAACCGATATCTGGGTTTATCTTTGCGTTACACAATGTGTAGATCACTTCGCAACAACACGTTAAAAATACATGTACTATCACGACAGGTGTTCGCGTAAATGGACACAATGTCACAATTTGTGAAAACGGTCATCACACACACCATTGATCTTTGTGCGTTTGTCAAAACTAATCTGGTGTTAAGAACGTGTAATGAACCGAAAATATTTCTAAATGATATGTTAAATTAAGTGTTCAAGAGAAAACATTATTTCATTAGATGTACGTATCAGACAAGATAAAGGTATCAATTTTCGGACTGATAACAGACAGGCTTATCTCCCACATGTTTGAGAATGTTATAGTTGGGCAGTGTTATATATTCATATAAGTTGAAACGTGAAGGTTTCGGACAGTCAACAATCGCCTCTAAGCATGAAGGCACCAGTGGAATCATGTTTAGGATTTCTGTTGCTTAGCGGTAAATATTTCGTTATCAACCAAGTGAATGTAATATTTCTCAATTTATTCAATATTCTGTTTTACTATGTTTTCATATTTTGACATTTGTCTGATTTCTTACTTCGTTTAGATCTATTTATGATTGACACTTCACAGAACATATTGTACAAAACAAAATCCTGAGAATTGACATGCATAACATGTGTGGTTTTGATTAGTGAGTGAGTGAGTGAGTTGGGTTTAACGCCGCTTTTAACAGTATTCCAGTTATATCACGGCGTGTCAGCTTAATGTGGGAGGAAAGCCCGAAGTGATGCAGGTCTCAGACGTTTACCACTTCGGTGAAACCCACGAGCACGGGTATGGTGCTGACAAACCTAGAAACATAATCGGGGCGAACCGGGATTCGAAACTACAATCATAGGTTTCTGGCGTGCCCACGGGACGCAACTCTGCACAGCGAATCACGCAGCCTTAGACGACTGGGCAACCGTGCCCCCGGTTTTGATTAAAATTCTACATGTTCGAAGTTGGACAACAATATCTGTAAAAGAAATTGAATCAATATCACCATTGCAGTTATGCAGAAAATGTGTTTGTAGTTCTGAAATAAAATAATGATATGTCAGTCCCACCCCAAGCTGACGTGTCCTATGTCCAGCCAAGTGAGACACTATGTCCTAGCATTAGTGAAACAATAGATTGATGTAACAATGAATTATGTGTTTATTTTCAAATTAATACGGTATAATAGCGTTCCTTCATAATGAACTTCCCTGCACCTAGTTTTAGGATAATACAGGCACTGGGTCACCTACAAGTATGACTTTATCACACCGTTTAACGACGTTTGTTCTAGGACTGATTTTCCTGGATCTGATTTGAAATCATTCTTTTGTGCGGAGACAGGTACAAATTACATGTCTTCTGATGTACATCCTCACTGTATTAAAATGGTTTAAATTTAAAATTTATATATTTAATCCAGTCGTAGAGGAACAAATTTTCTCTAAATAATCAAATTTCAATTTGTTGGCAGGAATATTTATCAATACGTTAATATCGTTGAAGTATTAATCATCGTTTCTCAGTTTGAAGAGAAAGAACATTGACATGAGAACATGGAAGCCACAAGCTTTTAAGTATAAAAAGTGTGCACTTGCGAATGGGTGCTCATGACATTATATGAGAAATGTGTTTTAATGAAGAATGATCAACAGAAAGCTTACACTCCATGCCTTGAGGCGCCGTATTTCACTGGGGAGAGTTGCGAACATAAGGTTTGCCAAAAACCTATGATCGTGGGTTCGAATCTCTGTTTGCCCTGATCATGTTTCGAGATAATGTCTATGACCTGCATCACTCTGGGACTTGTTGTAAAATGTAGACACCATAGCCTTGAGCTGCTGGAGTTTTGTCCGGCATAAGGAGAAAGTTCATCTAAATATGAAACACACGAGACGTTGTCACTGCTATATTTTACTTCTAATTCAGGTGTATAAATCAGTAGTAAGAAATTGTCAAATTGAACGACATCGATACATCTGAAACTAAAGTATCACTTCCTGGCCAACTTCTCGTGTTTTGAGTTTTCCAATCCGATCATAAATTATGAACGTGTGAGTGTGTTTGTTTTAACCCGCAAGGTAAAACCAAAGAGAAGGGTCACGGTACCGGTGCAATGTGAATACACTTGAACCTTCTATAAGGGAGAAGAAGTATTCTGAGAGGAATGGATACACGTTGTTTTACGGCGCACCAACAATTGTACAGCTATTCGCGGCGTTTATTTTTAGATGGATGTTGTTCATGATAAGTATATACTACATGTGACCTCTTGTTGCCGATACAAGATCTGGGTTAGAATAGGTCTTCCGTAACCCATGTTTGTCGAAAGAGGCGACTAACGGGATCAGGCTCGCTGGTTGATGCATGTCATCGTATCCCAATTACGTGGATTTGTGCTCGTGATGTCAATCACTGCATAGTCTGGTTCAGACACGATTATTTACAGGCCGCAGTCATGTACATGTAGCTGGAATATTCCTGAGTGCGGCGTTAAACAACAAACAAACAAAACAAAAAACTGATAGATGTTTCCTGAAATCCACACGGTCTTTGTCGCGAATAAGATACAAAAACAAACTGCAAAAATATTTGAGTCTGCAGACGTTAACAATACCATGTTACCATGTTCTCGCACGAATAAGCTTAATAACACTTGCCACATATCGTTGTAGTCGCCATCAACGGCGTGAAGGCATTTCTGATAATGCCTCCAGACAATGCCAAAGGTGACTTATACGAAGCACAAGCCAGGAATATACTGAAGCGAGTGCCACTTGTAGATGGGTAAGTTGGATTTTTCAAAGATTTGATACAATGACGTAATCTTGGTTTTAACGTCAGCGTAAATTTTGCACTTGCGTCAAGCCCTTATAATAACAAGAGACACACAGCATGAGGTGAGGTGAGTTGAAATGGGGTTTAACGTCGATTATTGCACTTATGGACGTGCATGTACGTGTGTGTGTTTGTGTGGCTGCTTGTACTAGTCCGGACTGATGCCGATTTTTAGTGCTAGCTCACTGAGATACCATGCCGCAGTTTAACATGAATACCCCATCCAGACACAGTATACTGACTCCGAGCCGACCAGTCCTTGTTTTAGCCCCTTAATGCCAAACGTCAGACAGGGTAACAACAAGTACCATCTTTTAACGTCTTTTGGTATGACGCAGTCGGGGATCGAACCCCGGACCTTCCGCTCACCGGGCGGACGCTCTACCACTAGACCACGGAGGCGGTCCACACAGAATGAACTTGCTTTGAGGCGTAAGTTGACGTTCTTGAACAGAATTCTGTTTAGCCCACTCCAGGTATAAAATGCAAACTCTGAAATTGGAACAAGTGAGCTGTGTTTGTACTCATCCGTTTGCTACTTCTATAGATTCAACCATATTTGACAATTGTTCATTGCGGCGTAGAGCCACTCACTCACTCGAGCTCACTTCACCTCTTCATATCAAGACATCCAAACCAAGAGGAGATTTATGATAGTGGTTGCGCAGGCATAACGATATTGGCTGTGTGAGATGAATGAATGTGTTTGTGCATTACAATTTCTGTTGTGTTATGTGTTATTGTGTTTGTGCAAGTATAATTAATTATATTGGCCGTGTGAGATGAATGAATGCGCTTTTGGAGGCATAATAATAACGGATGTGTGAGATGTGTAATGGTGTTTGTTTCAGCATAAAACTCTCATCCGAGTGAGATGAGTGATTGTGTTTATGAAGGCATAAACATCTCCCATGTATGGAATGAATGAATGTGTTTGAGAAGACATAATGATCTCGGCTGTGTGTGATGTGTGCTTGTGTTTGTGCAGGCATAAACATCCTGGCAGTGGGGGATGTGTGCTTGTGTTTGTAAAGGCATAATGATCTCGGTTTTGTGTGATGAGTGCTTGTGTTTGTGCAGGCATATCGATCTCGGTTTTGTGAAATAAGTGCTTGTGTTTGAGCAGGCATAATGATCTCGGCTGGCACATCATAAAAAACTTCAAGGGCGATCTGGAGAAAGTTGATCTGAGAAAAGACACTCGGTCACAGTTTCCTGTGGACCCCGAGTTTCTGGCGCAAACAGACATCCCCCGAATACGACAAGGAGAACTGGGAGCTCAGGTAATCTTAGTCATCTACAACAAACAGCCTTGTTATTTCGGGCCAAGGCGAATAGCGGCTCGTGCCATTCTCGTGGCCCTTTTATCAATTTGTTTCGTCTTTGCTCAAACGGACATAGTAAAATTCACAGTCATCTTCTTGTATCATTTTCACCTTTACTTTTTAAGTTGATAGGGGTACCTTCTAAATATTACACAGTTGCCATTTAGACCACGTAGTATGGTGAAACAATTTGTTGTTTAACGCCGCACTCAGCAATATTCCATTGTGACTTTCACTGTGATGTGTTTTTAAGATACTAACTATACCTGTAAACAAGCAGAAATATTAAGTAGGGATTCTTTGATCAAACTGCTCGTAGTCAGGACTGGTGTGTCGTGTTTTCGTACATTGGTCGATAGATTGTAACGAATTTTCTTTTAGGTTAAGGAAAGGGGCAAGCTGCAAACAGTAAAATTAGTATGGGAATTAGTGTCGATGTAAACATAAATCGTCAACGCTTTAGGGATATATTGATATTTTATAATAATACATGAGTGAGTGAGTGAGTGATGCAGGTCTCAGACGTTTACCACTTCGGTGAAACCCACGAGCACGGGTATGGTGCTGACAAACCTAGAAACATAATTGGGGCGAACCGGGATTCGAACCCACAATCATAGGTTTCTGGCATGCCCAAAGGAAGCAACTCTGCACAGCGAATCGCGGCGCCTTAGACGACTGACCCCCCGTGCCCCCAATAATAAATGAAGTGTACGTAAGCGGTGTGAGTGTTCCCGACCTTTCTGCACTTAGCCCACACTCTATGCGTTACATTCAAGAATGTAGGTTAAATTGGCAACACACAAGATATGTTATCTTCCCATATAACACACATTCACGTACATTAATATGACCCCTTACAGGCGGTGTAAGGCCTGTATGCCAAAGTGTTCTGGTTTATTGGCCTGTCTCCGAAATGTCACAGCCAACATTAATGTCAGTCAAGTTGATAAAAATAATCTTTCCGCAAGCTGAAGTTTTCCGTTGTTCTCGTGGTTCATTGGATGAAGGCACTGCTATATGACATACGGAGTTGTTTCACTTAGTTCTCAGGATCCGTTGGTTGGAGTTCAAATCTCAGATTCACTTTGATACCTTCATATTCCAAAGGGTTAATTTTTGGCCAAAATAGGAATTTCAAAAGATTTTGTCGTATTATATTGTATATTAATATTTTATTGATTATCTATAGACATGACCTTATATGATCACCGTATATAATCGGCGAAATTCATGCATATTCATTGTCCAAACTACCTTTTGAGACAGACGGCCTTGAAGTAATGAGACAGCAAACGTGCAGGATCGCTTGCCTATATATTTCCGCTCGCCTCGGTTCCACAAAATTTATGTGTTCTATGTGCATAAATTAAACATTTACCTGATTCATATCACGCAACAGTTTGTATTCCTACACCTGGACTGTTTATCAATCTCGTCATTTGTCTGCTGTGACATATACAACTGTTTTTGGTTAAGCTATAGTAGAAGAGAACACAACTTTTCGTTGTCGAATTTAATTATTAAGATTGTTCTGTGGATTATTTTCAGTTCATTAAGGTACGGATAAAAAAACTGATGCGCAAACTGTATGACTCCGCGAAGCAGAAAGGGGCTGTAATATTGGGATTCAATAAAGCGAATAAAATCCCAAGTCAATCCTTAATACGTTTGCCTCCACTTCTCAAAATCTTCTATAGACACGACCTTCATAACCGTGTATAATTATGACCTCTGTGAAACATCTGTGATAGAACCAATATTTATCGTTCCTGGCTTCAAGTCATCTTCCCGAGGCAAGAGAGTTAACTGACTTTAAAAGTCCCGTTTCCACCCTTGCCGAACTAGGCTGGAATTCCTGGGCTCCATCGTAGCGCCACCAATGGTTATTACGAGTTATGTCCCTTCTAAACCTCTCCTATGGACCAATCAGATTCCACCTCGCGTATCAATGGCATTTGATTCAAACAAGACGATCTGATCGATAATCAATACCTATATTGTGATGAAACGGGTCTTACATCGCGAAGTGCATCAAATCACGTGCGCACCTT